CTTTTCTCGTCTACTTTCGAGGCGAGCCGCAACGCGTCTCAAACAAGCCTAGTAACTCGCAGAGACGGCATTTAACCCTTCACATTCCAACAGAAACTGAACAGGCAGATTCAAATTTATTTATTTGGAAATATTATTTTAAATCCAATTAAATCAAGTTATTTTGGTAAAACTAATGAAAAATGTAACAACAAAAACATATATAAAAAAAAATGTTTTTTTAATGTTTTCAAATATTATTTCTTAGAATATCTTAGGCCCTCACAGAGGGCCCTGACGGGCTCGCCACTGCTTATACCATTAATGCATTTTAGTGACTTGATATATTTTTTCCCATGGTCTTTTTGAGCTTTCCTTGTGTCATTTTCTGTCAATAGATGTGCCCTTGCAGCTGTAGAATGTTTTCAGACAGTTATTTATATTTATGCTATGCACTGTGCCTCTTCTGACATTTCTATAATATGTTATTAAATATTCCTGCATGCACTTTTTTAATATTCTAACTGATGATTGAACCTAACTATCTTTATTATAGCCCTATTGTCGTTTTTTTGTTTTTTTAGATATAAAGCTGCAGTTGTATTTTTCACCACTAGATGTCAGGAGTGAAACACCGCTGACATTTATTTTCTGGCTAAATATAAACTTTAACATATCATATTAAAGGAAACTTTCTTTAAATAGGAAAATGAGTCCAAATTAAACTTTGATTATGAACAATACTAAGTTATATTTTTGCCTGATTATAGGCCTACCCTTTTTTGTGTTTTCAACCTGAAAGTGACAACAGAGGATTTGAATTTGGCCTTGCTGAGCATGGTATCAAAAATAAATGAACTTCAAGAAAGAATTCCCTGAACACTTCAGCCTTGTGTTTATGGGGAAATGAGAGTGGAGAAGGGACTTTTTCTGACGACGCTTACTGATTGTTGTTAAAGAAACATGGGCACAAGGAAGCTTGTGAAAGAGCAAAATATAGCATACTAGAGACAAACTGTTTACCATGACTAACAGCATGAGGTCAGCAGTTGTCAAGGCAACTGGCCAGCCATGCAACTGAGGCCTCAGAGGCAAACAGGAAGTGGAGCTGAGAACTGAGAAGAGAAACTGAAACATTAGTTAGAGCTATGGTTAGCTGAGAGAGCAGAGTGTTCATGTGTGAAACATCTGCTCCGACAGAAAGATAAACCGCACGCGCTAAAAGTTGTCCACTCCGCACTCTAACCCCCATGCAGCGCTACATGTGCTAACCTGCACAGCTCAGAACCAGGCTGTGTTTCTTATCTCACACCTCAGTCCCAACCCCCTTTCCCCTGTAAGGACCGGCTGCATGACCTCAACATCTTTAATGGACTTTATGTTCTTCCTTAACTGCAACAAATACAAAGTCTCTCATAAATCATAAAACTGGACTTGATCTTCATGAGTGCGAAAACATAAACTCCCTCTGTGTATCATTATATGGAGGACTTAAGCTTCCTTAAAATAAAGAAAATGAATACATAAATGAATTACATTTAAATAAATGTAGATAGAGGGAATACAAGTCTGGATAATCAAATACATGTGCATGTTGATAAGAAAAATAAATATGTTAAGAAATGTATTCATTAACCAATGAAAAAATAAATGTAGATAATAGAGAGAATAAGAGCCTGGATTTTGAATTAAATGTGTTAAGAAATAGAAAAAAAAGTTTTAGTTGAAAAATGAATTCTTTTTTAAAGAAAGTATTTAATTATTCCCCATTTTATAAAAATGTTCAGTTTAGAATTATTTAAATTGTATTTATACAATTAATTAAATACAGGTAAAGATTGAGTTTTTATTCCTGTGCTAATCGTTTCTTTTCAAATTGACCTGCACATTTATTTGATAAGACTTTTATTCTGACAGTTAATTTGAAAGTGTGTGCAGAAATGAATTCATTAATTTAAAAGAAAACGTTTTTAAATATTGCAGATAAGAGAGAATAATATCCTAAATGATCAAATAAATATGAAAATAAACATGTCAATAAAAAAAAAAGATTGTATTTGAAAATGTATTTTGATTATTTCCCAATTTATATTCATTTATATAAATCTATCAAATTTCTATTTATGTTCTGCAGATTAATTGAAAAAATGTGCAGAAATTAATTAATTAATTATAATTTGTTTAAGTAATGTAGATTATATAGAGAATAAAAGCCTAAATGATCAAATAAATGTGCAGGTCAATTTGAAAATTAAAATGTCAAGAAATATAAAAATTAATTAAATATTTGTATTTAAATTAATTTGTAATTAATGCATTTAAACATTACCTACCCTGTTAACAAAATGTGTTCAACTGTATTTAAAAAATGTCTTGTACAATTATTTGACATTTATTACATGTCTTGCTATTTTAGTTTTTATTAAGATGGCAGCTTTAGTCCTCCATACAATCAAGTCTATTAAACACCAAAATAAATACAAAACGATCTTTATTATCAGGTTTACATGTAGACTCACATGTAGCTCAACGAGTACAGAGAATAAACAGTGGAGACATGTCGCGCTTCGCTGCCTTTTAGGAGCTGAGCAATTACCTTCTTTAGTTCTCTATAAACTCAACGGTCATTTTGTTCTTTGTGCTGAGACACTCCTCAGAAGTGGCTGTGAATCACACGAAGCAAAAGCAGGTGGGAACTACATGATGGAAAACATTATTACATCTCAATGTAATCAACTTTTGGCTGCAATTAAGTCCCTTTTTTTTATTTAAAGCAAAAAAACCTCTACTTCTTATCCTATAAGTGCACTTAAGTTATTCCTGGCTACATCTCTTCTTATATCTAGTCTGGCTTTTGGCGCCATGTGAATGAAAAACGAGTTTAAAGATTACATTTTTCAAGTTTTCAGTTTCAAGTCGCATTGTTTGTGCTCAATATCGAGCACAAACAATGCAATTTAATTAAATTAATTGGCTCCAATGTCTAATATGGATCATGTTGTTTATATGCAAAGCAACACTCAAAGAGTGTACAAAAAAAATAAAATGAACAGCTGATTTGGTCATAACGACCACAGGGTTTTGCGTTTAGAGACTATGTGACCACTACAACAACATTCCTGAAGCTAAAAAGGCTCACAAGGAAAAAACATGGATCATGGGGGGGGGGACCATTTTACATGCTAAAAACCTATACAACACACTACAGGAAAGGAAACCTAAAAAAGCATAATAGGGCCTTTAAAGTGTATTCTGCAGTTGAACCATCAAATCATGAAGGGGAGCCTCACAGAAACATAAGCCACCTGTCAGTATGCGCTGCAGAACAATAAGGAGGCACGTTAAAGAAAATATTTGGTAAAGCCATTTGCCATTTCCACATTCTCACCAAACCCCCTCTGATTCTTAAATTAATTCACCATGATAATGATGTGCATCCAGTGTAAAGTCTCTTTTAGTGGTTTGGTTAAAAAAAACCTTGGCAGATTCCTATTTGTCCGACTGTTTTGCTACTTTTAGTACTGTCCCTTGAGCTCTGCTTTAAGGCAGGCATGGGGAAAAGAGACCGTGCTTTAGCCTTCTAGCTGCTAACACAAGTAGCTTTCAGATACACTCTCCAACAGTGCATTGTAGAACAGTTTATCATTCTGGGTATATGTTTGGACTTATGTTGTCAAGTTAGTTATTTCATCTTATGTCAAATGAAGAGGTGGACAAAATAAGCACACAAGAGGACACAGAAGTCTGTGCTCTACGGATAAGAGGACGTTTGGAGCGTAAAAACAACGGGGCTCTGCTGACGACAGTCCTCTCTGGCCCTGACTTCCCTATTCCTACTTGTTATTATAGCAGTTATGTAATTGTGCAAAATCAATGCACTCACTATGATTACACTGCTTAAGATCTCTCCTAAATAATGTCTACTTCCTCTAACACAATCCCAGGGGCCTCTTGAGGGAAATTCTTTACACTTTTAAAGATTTCTTTGGCGTACATTTTGATTAGGGAGCAAGTTTATTTCTTCTAAAAATATTTGAAGTTTGTCATCCACTCCTATAATAAGGCTATAATTAGGTGAGCAACTTAGATAAAAGTCCCAATATATCACTTTTTTAAAAAAACATATTTTTGACTCGTATATGGTAAATTAATAGGTTACGGTTGCTGGTATCCTCCAAAGATGGACGACTTGCCGTTGATGGCGCCACATTCCCGTTCCCTATTCACTGACTTATCCCAGACTGAATGTTTAGAATCAACAGTGTTGTTGTATAAACTATTGAAAGGTTAAAGATCTGCGGAAAAATATACAGTTGCAAGAAAAAGTATGTGAACCCTTTGGATTCTCCACACATAGCGTTGTGTGTTCCTTCCAAACAACTCAACTTTGGTTTCATCTGTCCACATAATATTTTGCCAGTAGTGCTGTGGAACATCCAGGTGCTCTTTTGCAAACTTCAAACGTGCAGCAATGTTTTTTCTGGACAGCAGTGGCTTCCTCCGTGGTGTCCTCCGTGGTGTCCTCCCATGAACTCCATTCTTGTTCAGTGTTTTACGTATCGTAGATTCGTCAACAGAGATGTTAGCATGTGCCAGAGATTTCTTTAAGTCTCTATAGCTGACACTCTAGGATTCTTCTTCACCTCATTGAGCATTCTGCGCTGTGCTCTTGCAGTCATCTCTACAGGACGGCCACTCCTAGGGAGAGTAGCAACAGTGCTGAACTTTCTCCATGTATAGACAACTTGTCTTACTGGACTGATGAACATCAAGGCTTTAGAGATACTTTTGTAACCCTTTCCAGCTTTATGCAAGTCAACAATTCTTAATGGTAGGTCTTCTGAGAGCTCTTTTGTGCGAGGCATGGTTCACATCTGGCAATGCTTCTTAAGAATAGCAAATTCAAAACTGGTGTGTATTTTGTATAGGGCAGGGCAGCTTTAACCAACACCTCCAATCTCGTCTCATTGATTGGACTCCAGGTTGGCTGACTCCTGACTCCAATTAGCTCTTGAAGAAGTCTTTAGCCTAGGGGTTCACATACTTTTTCCACCCTGCACTGTGAATGTTTACATGGTGTGTTCAATAAAAACATGAAAACATATAATTGTTCGTGTGGTATTAGTTTAAGCAGACTGTGTTTGTCTATTGTTGTGACTTAGATGAAGATCAGAACACATTTTATGACCAACTTATGCAGAAATCCAGGTCATTCCAAAGGGTTCACATACTTTTTCTTGCAACTGTATAGTATTTATGATAAGGACACATTTTTGTCCCAAACTAATCAGAAAGTGAGGCACGGAGGTTAAATAGTTATTTAACATATGAGGACGTTTGATATATTGTTACTAAATTAACTAGGTCAATGGTAGAAGGGTTAACCACTCCTCCATGCTCCCCACTACAACTGTCGGTATCCACAAACACACACAGGGCAGATGAAATGTCCTGAAAGCTACCTGCGCCTGTCATGGCCGACTGAAGCACGGCTAGTTTGAATCCAGCCACCGTTATTAAAAGGCACACATCTTCAAAAAGGCTACATACACACACTCAAACACACTAGTGCTGTCATTAAGGTTCTGAAGCGGCTTGCAGGCATTCATACATATGAGCTATGTACATGATTAACACCAGGAGGAGAGGAGGAGGATAAATAGTTCCTAGCCTGTGTGTGTGTTGGTGGGTAGAGTCCTGAGGTCTGCACACACACACACAGACGGATACACACACACGTCTGTTTCCACTGCGGGGCCAATCAGGGCTTCACAATGTTCGTCAGTCTTGATAACAACATGCCTTTGATTCTTTCAGCAGCTTTCTGTGGTAGAGCCGGTTTGCCAACTGAGAGATGAATTCCTAGGAAGTGTTCATTGCTTTGGTGTGAACACGTTTCTTACTTCCAAGTAGTGCGATCTGCCTGGAGAGGGCAGGTGATTTGTTCTCTGTATTGTGAGGAGTCTTAGGAAGTGTGGCTAAATGTGAGCGAGATTTGTTAACTGTAATACATAAACAACTTCCTGTGTTCAACTATTAGCAAATGTTCTTGTACTTAAATTCTTTAACTTGCTGTTTTGAGTGCATAAATGTGTCCGAAAGCAATGTATGGGAAAATGCGAGTACCTGGAGGGCGCACTCATAACGGTCAACATTTTTTTGTGGAACGCTGGACACTTCTAACACTCAACGATCGCCATCTCGGCAACGTATCGGAAGCAACGCAAACCAGCAGCGATTGTTGTTGCCGCGGTAAACATAGCACTAACAATAAAAAGTGAAACTGTTTTTTTTTCAGGCTTTAATAAGCATACGAATATATTAGTTTGGAAAAGAAGCTACCGCTAATTTGTATGTCTGTATACTAGCGCAGCGGTGTGTGCTTTGTGAGACAACTCTGGTCTAAATTCACACACTGCTATGAAGTGTTCATAGTGTAGGACATGGCAGTGCATCAAGGGAAGTGTCCCAATTGAGACACATCAGTTTGAGTTGAAACTGTGCACGGCTAAAAATCATAGCAGAGTAGATGAATATGAGGTGACGGTTTTAAACCTTAAGTAAGGAAACACTGATAAAAACGCACTCATCTACTAGGTTGTGCAATCAAAAACATTATGCCATCCTCACAACTTTAAGTTCATTTTCTTTCATTGGATAAAAGTTACTAATTTCTTCCATTTGACATTATGTGTGCTAAAGTGTTAGCACAAACACGATGGACTAAGGACACTTTGGGCTCACGAAGCACAAAAGTGTGAGACTTTCTGTGCAAGTGTAAAACAAGAAGGTTTTACAGAGAATGGAGGTTTTTGTAGTGAGCATTCAACGGCATAAATGAGAGATGAATTATTCCGCACCAGATGTGTGAGAGTGTAAACAAGTGTAGTTTTGGTGTTATTAATTCTAATTTAATTACCACCGTGAGTATTATACAAATGGTATTTTTGTGGGTACTTTTTACCACCAGTCAGTAGTTCCTCCTCTTAAAATGAGAATTCATCACCCAGAGAAGCTACAAAAGAATCAAAGGTTTTGAACCTCGACCCGTTTTGGCTCGGCGCTGCTTTTCCTACTCTGTGTCATTCCTATGCCCTGGAAGCTGTGATGATGCTCCCTCATCCGGGGTCAGAGGTCAGGAGCTGTTCACGTCCGAGGTTTTCATTATGACACTGGCGCGCATCTCGTGTGTGAGGCCGGTCGCTGCAGACTCAGAGTTCTGGCCGTAAGCTGCCGTCCAGCCGTCTACTTCCCCGGTGTGGTAGCTGATGAGGGGGGTGGGGTCTCGCGTGCTGGTGACCCTGAAGTTGGGCTTGCTCGCGGTGACGAAGGTGGCCATGCCGGGGAGAGAACATGAGGGAACCCTGAGAACTGATGTGTTGTAGTCCTGCCTCCAGACTACACTGAGCCCCTGGGACAAGAACAAAAAGAGAGAAGAAGAAGAGGAGCATAAGCAAAACACAAGCAGGGCACAAAGGCTGTGGCTAATTCCTGACGCATGTTGAATGCAAGTGACATTTTTTTCTTTTTTTTCTGGACATCCATTTCCCAGTTCTGTGATTTATTTGTTTCCTCTCCTTTATATATATATATATATGATTTCAGAAGAGGTGAAAAACGGTTTTGCTATTATAATTCTTATTTTTAAAATCCTTAAATGTCACTTTAGTAAAACAGGTGTTGTTGCAATACTCATTATGGCCACGACTTAGTTTGAACTACAAGATACATATATTGTGTGCTAGGAAGTAATGTTACATGTGTTAAAGGTGCTGGATAAATCAAACGCTGCAAATACAGAACGCTTCATGTGCATGTGTTTTGGCACATTTGTGTTGTTTTATTTGAATTGCTTTTGAAACTGCAGCTTGTTTCTCCAAACGGAAGTGTTTTGGGTACCGTAAGTCTTCTTAAACACAGTATTCCAAAAAACTATTTGAATCAGATTTAGGTAATGGCTCACCAGATTAGTTTTTTCCTCACTGCCTCTCATGGCTTCAGTTGCTTTGTATGTGTACACATATAAACATTACATCTATTATATCAAATAGCTGCATTCATCACTGACACCTTTTATTACAGAAAATAATCTGAATGTGAGGGAAAGTTTCTACTTTCCTTTGTTCTCTCTGTTCTCTCTGTACTCTCACCACTGATAAGAGGTAGCGTGTGTGTGTGTTACTGTGGGTACAAGTACTACAACAGGCCAACCTCAGATCAAACTGTTAATGTTTGACAGTTCCTGACAAGGCCCTCCCTTTTCTCAGTGACTCGCAACAACACACACACACACACACACACACACACACACACACACACACACACACACACACACACACACACACACACACACACACACACACACACACACACACACACACACACACACACACACACACACACACACACACACACACACACACACACACACACACACACACACACACACACACACACACACACACACACACACACACACACACACACACACACACACACACACACACACACACACACACACACACACACACACACACACACACACACACACACACACACACACACACAAAAACCTGTTTGTCTGCAGATCGGAGCAGTTAATAATCCATTCATCTCTCTCTCTCTCTCTCTCCTGTGTACAGTATAATGAGAGACTCACCTCTGTGTCACTGTCCGTGTCGCTGCCTGTACAAAAAAACAAATATACAGAAATGCAGTTAAAACATTTGTTTTAAGGTAGATCTTTGTAAAAAGTCACATAGTTACAGATACAAAATGAAGAGTTTACATACATAACATTTGCACACAATTAAATAAAAGTACATGTTAAAGAAAAATATGATTTGATATTGAACCCTGACTCTACAGGCCATGGTAGCGATGGAGAAACATAAGAAAGTGGTAGAGACAAAGAAAAACTGATGGCATGATTATAACTGTAAACTGATGGAGCTCACTCTGCCTGAATGACTGGTTGGATAAGAAGAAAGGTGGATACACAACCAGATCTCAGGGTGCTAATGACTAACCATGGAGAACTGAAAGCCAATCAAGCGTTGACATTAACCAACCACTTTGGGGAATCCTGAACTAACCCTTTCAAATGCCAAAAAAGGGTGTGTGGTAGTTTCAAAGAGAGGGTAGAGGGGGGCTTCAGTTCCCCGTCAGCATCTAGCATCGCACGATTCTTCCATTGGATTTTATATTGCAAGGTCTGTGACAAACACATGTTTATGATACTTATGTACCTTTTTTAAAACACATTTAAAAAAAGCAGTGACGAGCTGAACCTGTGGTGTCTATCGTTTTTTCGAAGACAGTTTATAGTCACGCCCACTTCCGCATTACGAGTTACTACAGAAGGTTCAGTAGGTTCAGTCAGACAGTCAACCGCCCCCCCCAATGAATTTGTCTCTCAGCGGCAGGAAGTGGAGGAATGTAGAGGGACCGCAGGGAGCAGTTGGTAATTCTTTGTAGTCTGATAAATAAAACTTCATTTATCAAATTTAGCAGCCAATATTGTTTTCCCTCCCAAGCTACAGTAGACATGAGATAACTTAGCGAACTTATCCTTATACATCCATGACACTGGGGCTACATCTAAACTGGGATGGTCAATTGATCGACTCAACCTGGAACTCTACTCATCCCCACCACAGAACAGGAAGTGATTAGTGCATGTCAGCCAGATTAAGCTGTGTGTTGTAACACAAACATCATTAACCATGACCTAGAAAGATTCCTCTTTGTAAGATTGTAACCTCTGTGCCTTTAAATGGTAACTGTGGTCAAAACTCTGGTTATGCATCTCTTTCTACAAGATTACTCTCATTTAACTAGCACATGTATGCTCTTTCTTATCACAAATGGTTGTAAAGTGTGTGTGTGTATGTGTGTGTGTGTGTAGTCTCACCGCAGCATGAGGACACAGGAGAGATTTGCAGCGGGTACGAATGGGAGGAGCTTACGGTCTGCTCCTCGTTCTCAGTGGTCACCTCGATGGTCTGACAGACGAACGGTAGCTGCTCGCTGGTGATCACATGGTCTCCTACCGAGCACTCGCTGGGTGTGTTTGGACGGAAAGGCTGAAACCACTGTAGTGCTGTAAATAAATGATTGATTAAAATGACTCAAGTGTGTGGACAATCCGGTTACAAATCTTCCCAGTGATGCGAGATAAAGAGATATTCGTACGCCTTGAAAATCAAAGTGTAGTTAATACATATTCATGAAGTCATAAAACTGCTTTGATCTCCTTTAAATGTATTGCAGTTACTTGAAAAAGTAACCAATTGTTATCTTTTCCATTTTTTATTTATGTTGATAGAAAAAGTTCCTTAAAAAAGGGAAAGACTACCGTTAACATCAATTACAAGCAATAATAATGCAAAAAAAAGGGAAAAAACGATAAATATAGTGTCCCTTTGTTCCATAGCAAATGTATCTTCTTCATGATAATAATTCTTAAATTCTTCTAACTACTATACGAAAACAGTCAGCAGTTACTGTATGTTCTGTGGCAGGAGATAGTTCCTGAGCTAGATAATCAACAGATCGACTGAAAGTCTTTTTTCTTTACTTTTGAAGCTTCTATTGTGGTTTTTAAATGAAGCTTTCAATGTCTGTTGTCATATTTTATGACCAGTCTCGACCCTGAAATAATAGATTGTGTTATCTTGGATAAATTAATGTCATACATGATGCTGTTAGATTGCTGCTAGGCTGCTTTTTGGATGTGTAACCATTCTGTGAGGCAAGTGGAACAGCAGAGAAAACACCAACCAATAAGGATTGAAGAAAGATCCCACTACATTTTTGAAATGATTACATTTTAGCATGGTTTGAAAATAGATTTTGGATCCATTTTGCCATTGGAAAGATCATCACTTGCTAAGAGGTACTCTTCAAATAGCACTATACTTGACAGAGGACTGGTAAAGTGTTATAACTAGGAGGGTAACAGAAAGTAGGTATCTGTGGTTCATTCCCAAAGTTGTGACTGACCCTGCTGCTTCTTTTGTATGTCAATGGCTGTTAATGTTCTTTGGTTTTGGCTTCGTTGGTGTTAAGAGTAAGTTTGTTCTTGCATTTTTCAAAACAAAATTGTTTATGTAGATGCCAACAATGCAGCCATTTATAGAGAGGCGAAGTCTCTCCCTTTCCGGAAAAATTATGTATTGAAGTCAATGGGGAGAGAAAGATTATCTTTCGATCCCGTTTGAATTGTGCCACGATTTACACACATGATGTTTGTCAATTTAAAAGATAATTTTACAAGTCAAAAAAATTAAAATGTGTCGTAAAACTGTGAAGTAACACTTTGTTTGTGTGAAACCGCTCAATGAACTACATCTCCCGTCTCGCACCACACACCAAGACGGCCGTCACGTTGGCACATTTCACTAGTAGTATTAAAAGAGGTGAAAATCACTACAAGTCTGGGCACGTTGAGAGCTGTACATGGACAAAAGGGGAGTTAGTCGGTTCCGTAAAAGAGCCAGCATGCAGGACCGGGATTCTGGGATTTGTAGTCTTTCTAGTTGCGTATTTTTCATAGTCTTATATTTCAACAGTTTTACGACAAACTGTGATGTTTTGACATGGAAATGATTTTTTTAAGATTGACAAAGATCATATGTGTAATTCGTGGCACAATTCAAACGGGATCGAAAGATACGTTTTCTCTCTCCATTGACTTCAATACATTTTCCGAAATAAGGTCCCATGGGTCGGAAGTAGAAGGGCGGGATTTCGCCTCTCTATACAAAAAAAAAATCTCACATTCTCATTAGTCCATTTGTTATAACAGTTCCTCTTACTAAGTCAGTTAGTATTTTATCTTATGAGTGTTGAGAACAAAAATATTCTACATGGAAATCTACCTTTTTCTTTAAATAAATGTTGATTTTTGGGAAATGTTTGGATCACACCAATTGGTAACCATCCTAATTGGCCACCACTTCATTGTTATTCTATAATTCATATAATATTAGCGTTGCCTGATCTTTACATGAAGCTTCGCACAAATACCAGCTTTAAATACTATTGAAAGATAGTAAAAAAAATTAAATAACAAAAAAGAAGCCACGAAATATGAGTAAAGAAGACAGTAGTGTGGTACCTGAGACGCTGTCGATCACTGTGAACTCTAGTGCTTCCTGCTTGATCGGAGACGGAGAACCTGCCTGCTGGGGACAGAGTGGAAGAGGAGACAGAGAAAGATTAAGAATAGACCTGTGTTAGCACATAGAAAGCAAAAACATGTAGTTAAAACCTTGAAAGTTCATTTTTACAAGCCCGTTGGAAGATAGTATCCTTTACAGAATAACTTCTAACCGAGAGGTTGAGAAACTTATATACGAGTGCAGGGCTGGAGTAATTAAACGTTAGTCAGCTTATGCTCAAGTATTCAGCTGTAACAATATAAACAGCTTATTCCCGCTAACGCCATGAAGCATTTCAGGCATGTAAATACAGAAACTGAACTGACCAGAATGTGCTGAAGAAACTTGTCAAATATGAAATAAGCACTGTTCTGTAAATGTTGTTAAATGTTGCTTGGAATGAAGCATTTCTCACTTATATTTACAATTTGGTCCGTTTGTTATAGCAGAATGTTTAATACAGCGTATTTCTGATATTTATTAAAGATCACATGGTATCCATATGATGTGTGTTATTGAGTTGGGACACACAGTTAGAGACAATGGTCGTTCTGAGTTATCAATAGATGTATTCATTTGAAGTGAGCTGACACCGAGGGTAGAGGAAGTTCAGAGAAGGCCTCAGGTTATAAAAACAGTTAACCTTTGTTAGTTAACTACTCCTAAAGATGTCATGAGACGATGACATTTAAACATATACAAGTATAGCTTTCAGAGAGAAAACATGTGACATTTGTGTGGTAGGCTGCATGATAAAATGTGTGTGTGTTAAACATGCTTAGGGAAAATGTGTGTGTGTTCATTGCAGTGGCTATATATGCTGTATGATTGTTGCTACCGTCGGGGGGCACTTCCGCGATTGGCTGCTGTGGCAGCAGGTGATGTACTTCCCATTATTGTTTGTTTGTTGCAACAACTAAATAATAATTACTGATCAGCTATATCTGTGTTTGTGTTTTATTGATTCCTCTCCGTTTCATTCTTTCCTGTTGTGAGTGCTGGGTCGCCACAACACGTTCTTTGAGTAATCTTCCTTCAGTTTTGACTTAAATTCAAGCATGAAGATAGTCTACAGAAAACAGAACGTTTATTTTTCCTTTCTGTTGGAAAAAGAAAAAGTGGCCATTTCTCAAATGTTACTATTAGTTTTACATAAGCCATCTCCTGGCATGTCTTTCACGTGGCTGTGGAGTCGGAGCTGATTTGTTTATTACATATTATTTAGCTGGCGCTTTTATCAAAAGGGGCTTACATACTCTTTAATACTGTAGACATAGAGGTCAAATGTGGCTTCCAGTATCTTGCCGAAAGTCACCGTAACAGTCTTGACTGCAGGGGTTGGGATCGAACCACTGATCTCTGATTGGCTGATCAGTGCACTAAATTGCTTGCATGTTTAAAATGAAATGCGCATCTATCATATATACTTCGACCCTCCAAAACGTACGCCTGTCATAAAGATGTTGGAACGGGTTTGACTTTTTTCTGTTTTTTTTGCATTTGTCAAAAGCCTTTTGAGAGTAGTTTGACCCCACAGAGCCACCGTACATACAAACGTCATCATCGCTACCCATTAAAGCTACAAAACCTGCCAACCGTTTTGTCTCAATTTGCTAATCTTCACAATTGATAGCATAATAAAACATAGTGCAGGGGTCGGCAACCCTGGCACGCGTGCCACCATTGGCACGCGGCACCGTAACCATTGGCACACTAGGAATAAGTGTGCAAAATATTTAAATTGTATTTTCGGATCCTGAACGAGACCGCCGCCAGAGCGCGTCTCCCCGTTACCTGCAGAAGGAAGCCATGCACGCAGCGCGGCCCCGCTCTGTTTAATTCCAGGTGACTTTCTGCCGCTTTCCTCCGTGGTGCAGATAGTTTCACCACGGAGGAAAGCACTTCACTAATTGCAGTACCCATAAGGAGCTGTACAAATGCCGCAGTTTTTGCATGGCTGTGTCTTTAGTTGAAAGCCCAGTTGCGATCTGCTCATCGAAATAATATGCTACAAACTTTCCTGTCGGCTCCCAGACCGTAGTCGAGGATATATATATATATATTAGGGCTGTCAAGTTAACGCGTTATAATTCTCTCTCTCTCTCTACATGTGTGCTCTGGAGAATCACAGAACGGACGATCGTCCTTATTATTATGCCGTTCAAACCAATTTAAATGTGTTTGTTAAATTCGGGAACATCATGTAAGTTGCGCTGACAGGTCCACACACTGCTTCCCGGCAGCGAGGCTCCCCCGCCTTCCTGCTGATAGTTGACGAGCGTCAAGCTCCTCAACCCCCCCCCCCCGTTGATAATTCTCGATCGTTGGCACGCTGATAACAATTTTTTTTTTTTTGAAATGGCACTTCATATCAAAAAGGTTGCCGACCCCTGACATAGTGTAATGTTTTTTCCAGATTTATACAAAATGCAAGAGATTTATGTGTTATTATTTTTACTCAATCCAGCAAATGTTGTGTTCATGTACCTCTTTACTCCTTTTTGGCTTCCCCTCCTTGTCGGTCTTCTTCTTTTCCACTTAAATATACAGAAAGAATAAAAATGTTCAGTAACTGAGCCACAATATAAATGGAAAGAGTATTGATTCAGTAAATATGGAATTATGAACAAGTATTTATAAGAGAAACAGATCAAATCTAGAAAAGTGATTGTGCTCACCTTTCTTCATCATCCTCTCGGAGGAGGAGAGCATCTTGTACACTCTGAATGCGTTGGTTCCCTTCTTGATGCTTTTGTCCTTCACCTCCTCGATGTCCGGCAGACTGTTCATGGCGCAGCGGAAGTTCGCCTTCCACGTCTTCGGGTCAGGGCGGTCTATGCCGATCTGATATTTACCTGCACACAAACACAGAGAACTCACCATCTTTTCCCAGGTATATCATTATTCATGTCTCATTTTATTTAGATATTATCCAGCTTACAGTCTTCTACTGTTTTGCAAAGAAATACAGAAAATTAGAAGAATGTACTTTTTTTGTGATGGCCGATTGTGGAGGAAGACACCTCAAACAATCCCCTTAAACAAACTATCACACTCTTATTTAGTTTGATAACATGGTATGACGAGAGCTTTTTGTTTTTTTGAATTTATTTAAATGAATACACTTGATACAATCAGTTCACTTATTGTTCAGCAGAGTAAATATGGCTAGTGAGTATAATATCACCAACAGTCTCCAGCTGATAGCTTTAAGTACTGTAGGAGATTTTAGCTTCCTTTCTGAAGTGTAGAGCTGAATATTCCCCACTGATATTTCTGCAGGGTGACAGAGCGGTTGCTGTTAAGGCCCTGACACACCAGGCCAAAATCGGCCGTTTTCGTTAGTCGTACGACGAAGCGTGCCCTGTCACCCAAACTCAAATTTGGTGTGTCCCGCACCGTCGGCCGTGACACGCCTTATTTGGCTTTTCATGGCCGACGCACGGCCGATTCAACATGTTGAATCGGCCGTGCGTCGGCCACAGGCAGTCGGACAAAGAAATCACTCTGATTGGCTGTTCAGCAAGCGAATCAGTGCATGAGAAGGGAAACGGTTGCTTGAGTCTTCCGCACGAAACATGTTTTCGATGGACGAGAGTGAAAATGGAATGCACGCGCTATTTGTTGTTTGTTTAGATCACGCAGTCTGTTCTTCTTCTCTGTCTTCCGGTTGTTGCCTCTTTTGAATGATGAATACACACTACCGCCGCCTGCTGGTAAGGAGAGTTATTGCCACTCACGCATGCGTAGTTCGTGCTCGGCTGAAGTCTTTGCGGTGTGTTCCAGTGCGACAGGACGCAGGAGAACACGGCGACGCAACAGTCGGCGTCGGCGAGTTCTCTGGTGACTGCTTGGTGTGTCAGGGCCTTTAGCGCTACAACACCTGAGGTAGGGCTGCCCCCATTTAGTCGACTAAAAATGAGTCTTAATCGACTCATTCTGAGTTAGTCTATTAGTTGGAGGAAAGAAAAAACAACTCCATCTGTGCGCTGCGTGTGCTTTGACACGTCAGCCGGAAACCCCTCGGACTTCTTTCAGAGCTGTGCCTGGTCATTAAGTTACTTTTGTCGGTTAGGAAATCCAAAGTGTGGATCTTTCTGAGCGAGTAAAGGACGAGCCCCACAAGGTGTCTAAAACTCTGCAGGAGAAAAGTTGCCTCCACATCCACGCCATCGGAGCGCAGCTTCCTGAATGCCGGCTTCATAACAAAACACGGAGCTTAATTAAACCAGACAACATGTGTGCTTTCCTCAGACTCGGAGGAAAACAGCAGCAGTGAGTCAGGCAGTAGCTTATCCTTGTATCGACATATATAGACCTATAATATATAATCATTCTGACCTCAGAAAACGATCAATTCAGGCTTTCATTTCATGATGAGGGCGTAATGTGCGGAGGTGTTCTTGCTGACGTTTATATTTGTCGGTGTTTCTGTTTGCTGTGTAGTATTTAATGGGTTGTTAACATTTTAATATAATTCAGTGGGTGTCCTCGCTGCTTGTTCCGACACACATGAAGAATCATTATCCTTAGCCCCAGAACATGGGCTGCCAGCTCTACCAACTGAGCTACACGGTGGCCCCGTTGTTTCTGTTGCTTATTTTATTGCATGCAGTCTTTTATCTTTATATTTGCCATTTAATTTGTTTGTTTAGTTAATGACGGAGATTTTAGGGCTGCACAATTGATACTAATGTGTATCCCAGTCGCATAGTGGCGCCATATCCCAAACACACCAAGCGCAATATTTGGTAAAGGTAAAATATGTCAAACTACCCGGGTGGGTATAATGAAGCAGAAGAGGCATACAAAGAATATTCTAGAGACTTGATGTGAATTAGAAATGATCAATCCTTCTAATGTGGCGAATCAAATCGCGTTCTGTGTCCCTACTGATTGAGACACGTGATCATTGTGATTTCTTTCTTACTAAATGTCCCGCAAAGTAAAGGTTTCACTGATTTTAGACAGAACTGGTGCGGTGTCTAGCAGTATGACCATGTCAACCACTGAAAAGGAGAAGCACAGTGTGTGTGTGTGTGTTACCGGTGTGTATGGCCCATCTCATGAAGAGCGGAGCGTCTTTCTCCAGGTCCCAGCCGTGACGCGCTGCATGCATCCACGGGATCTGGAATATCCGCTTTTCCTACACACATTTACATTCTGTCAGCTATTGAACTATAATATAAAAGTGTGTGTGTTTCTTTGTGTGTGTCAAAGTGTATACTTACTTTGTTGACCCATTTGAGTCCCGGTATCTGGCAGGAGTCGATCTGTTCCTCCAGCCACGGCCGCATCCTCATTCTCTCTGTGGGCATCGTCTCCTGCGAGCACACACACATTGACACACAAACTGGTATGTTGGAGCCAGTTTTTTTGTTTCTTTGTGAAAAGGTCAAATAAGATTGTCACCTCGTGGGGACTTCTGTAGTCAAGGGACTATAACACAACAACAATCCCACTGCACCAGCCTTTAAGACACAGGTATGGGCAACATGTGTGGAAGACACCGTCGACACAAAGTTTCTAACCCTTTTAATTACTTAATCAGCTTTGCCTCTTCTGTTTTGACTTGTTTGACTGTTGTAAAGGCCTATTTTCCTTGCTGAAGAGTAGACATTTTTTATTAAAGCAGCAGCATTATGCTTTTCTCTTTCCTGTAGTGTGTCATATAGATTTGTGTTCATGCAAATGGTCAGAAAAGATAAAGTATTTTCCAAACTTTGTACGGACCCTAAGGAACGGTTGTTATTATTACAGCAATAGAAAACATGGTGTGTACCGCCTCTGTGAGCAAAATGAAGGAGAGAGTTGAGATCCTTTTATCTGCGGTTGTAAAGATAAGACTCCTGCCAAGTTCATGACAGTCAACTTGCACTATCAAAACCACAGCCACATACCGTCTGAATAAAAGAAAACATAGTAAATAACATATTTTAGAAGATGAGACAAAAGGGACTAGAGAAAGAACTAAAAGATTAATAAATATGGCATGTTTATTTGGGAGCAAATTATGAAAAATGTGATTTAAGAGCGCAGTTATGATCCCTGCAGAGTGATGTGTTCAAAGTCCGGCAGTGAGCTGACACTCCCTGGTGCACACGGTGCACTGACGTGAGACTGAGCTCCACAACAGGTCAAACAGGGTAACATGGCACCGCGTCAAATAATACGCATTTGAACATCCACCGTACAGTAGAGACAGGTTAACTGTGTTCAATCAGAGACATTCATTCTGGACCACAGGGGTAAACCCTGTTAAAACATGCAATAGTTCAAATAGTGTATGTTATGGTATTTAAATGTGTTAGGTAAAGAGTTAGGTTGCGGAAACATGTTTTTGAGTGCACAATTAGTGATATTTAGTACTATTTTGTTCAAGCTATGCACCAGTAGCTTGCAAATGTAATTATTATTATTTGAAGTTCAAATATGATTTTGAAGAGTGTTCCCACATGACTTGCCCTGCTTATACATGTATAAATATACAGTATATGAATTACACATTTCATTTCCTAAATGTCAACTAAAACACGTGTAAGTTGCAGTACATGACACTTTAGATGTATTCAAAGGTTGAAGAAGTACTCAAATATTGCACTTAAGTAGTAGTCCTACCATCAAAATGTTACTCAAGTATATTTTGATGGTAATACTTTTGTATATTTACTTAAGGTATACTTGTGAATTTATTCAGTGTTGATGATATTGTTTATCATTAATATATATCTGCAAAGTAAGTAAAGGTACTACATGAATGCAGTGGAGTATAAGTACAATATTTACCTTTGATTGTAGCGGATTAGAAGTTCAAAGAAGCATAATGGAAATACTCAAGTAAAGTACCTCAAAATAGTGCTTAAGTACAGTCCTTGAGTAAAAGTACTAAGTTACTTAACACGACTAGCTGTAGTGTAGTTTAAAAAACATCTCTGATTTACTAACACATGCACAAAGTCCTGAATGCAACATACATTTGGTCACATAATTTTACTCGCATAACTAAATACAAACCAAAATACCTTTAAAATGTGACATTTGCAACCAAGAGTCCTTTTGATACATGTTAGCAAGTGTTAGTAATTGCCATATTCTATATGATATTTGACTTTAGGTAAGTGTTAGCAGCAGGTTTGTTAGGTATTAAAGTTGGATTTGGCAGTGGCGTTAAGTCAAGAGTTAACAGTGCTATCTGCCAGCGTGCTGACTGCTGACCCCAAAACATGCGAGTCAAAAGTGAAAATAAATCCCATACCTCGTCAACAAACGGCAGAGAAAAACTACAGTACCACTTTCACTTACACAGGGGGCCGGCAGCCGTCATGTCGTCCTGCGGGAAGTCAGTAGCGTTAACATGCGGAAATAAGATGTTACCTTATCAGTCTGGACGGCCTGCAGCCTCGCAGTCCTGCTGTCACAACAACACGCGCAGCTCCAATTATACAACTTCACTTATCGGTGGTTTAAAGTAGAAAAAGGGAAAGTATGGCCGTCGTTTTTCTCTGTTTCTGTATTCAGATCGAAAGCAAAACAACGGCTGCTTCGGGAAGTGGGGGCTCGAGCTGGAAATCCCCCTCCTGCCTGCACTCGGGCTCTTGCTTTGGGGCTATCGCGAGCTGCGTGGCGGAAGTTTCTTGGCTGCGTGCGCGCTCCCGAGGAAATCCCAAGCGAAGAGGGCTCACTCTGCTCAATTTTATTGGAACCACAAAAGCCTTTATAAGCCTATCACATGATGGGGCGACTGTACCTCAGCCATCATGTCGATTGTGTTTCTTGTCTGTGCAAAACTACCATAGCAATAACCTGTATTCTGATCAAATGTAATGTACCTGTGTTGTTTTAGCATATACATTGCTGAGATATATAGTAACTCAATACTGCTTTATGCAAATGTGAACCTGCTAATTGCCAATAGGCTACAAGATAATATCAGGGTTTCCCACACATAGACTACTTGGGCGGGCCGCCCAGGTATATTAACCGCCGCCCAAGTATATTTTGCGACCCTTTTTTAAAAAAAAATGTATTCGTCGTATTTTGTATTTGTATCTGCGGTTGATTAACTTGTGGACAATAATCCCTCGCTCTACGCCTCCTGTACCCAGTCCCTGTTAAGTGGCCTGCCTCACACAGGGTGACTGGCTGTCCACATGATGTGGCCTGCCGATATGGCCACTGTCATACAGATCATAAATCAAAGCCCTTGATTGGTCTCTGTGTGTCCTAACCTCAGCTCAGGTGAGGTAAAGGACTCTCTGAGTGTTTAGATAGTTAACTTAGTCTAAGTTCTCAGTGGGTCTCAAACGGTGTGGTCACCATTTATGTAAACACACATTTCCATTTGAGAGGGTAGTGATTAGTCAAATATGCATGAATAAAAAATAAAAAGTTAACTAGGTGAAAAAAGGTAAGATACACTTTTAAAACTTGTTGAGGGCTAAAACTAGTCTTTGCTGGTGTCTCAAAGAGGAGAAGGGAGGAGGGAGACAGGAGAGGCTGATTCAGGAGCACAGACACACTCACAACTATAAATGAACCAAAAATAAATAAATAAACAAGTTTCAGTGTTTTTTTCATATTGGAAATGGTATGTTATTGGTTATGGCCATGAATTTATGATTATTGAAATGTATACAGTTCTGTTTCATATAGGTGTTTCCATAGATCTAGTCTCTTTATTTTCCCCTCAAAATGCACCAGATTGACGCATTTAAAAATCTTACTGGGGGGGCATGCCCCTGGACCCCCTAGAGGATTTGAGGTCCACCCCCACTTAAAATCACATTGATAGGTTCCTAAATACATTTACCATTTAAAAAAAAAATAGTAACCCATTTCCATATGTTTATATGTGGGTAGTAGATTTAAACTATAGGGCTATCACTATGGGCCCTGCCTGCACCTGTTCGCTCTGCCATCGTGTGAAGGGTCTGCTAACAAGCGACCAACAGAAAGGTTCATGTTAATGTTGTTGCACGTCACCTTTAAATTCACGATCGTCTCAACTATAGACGATCTTTGAACTGGATTTCATTTTCACTTCCTCTATTTCTCCCCCTCCCCTCCTCCCCCCAAAGGCCAAATACCCCTTTCTGCACTGCCGATGGTGGAAACGAAACAAGAAACTTCAAGCAAGTGCGTGTGAGAGATTACACCCACCTGCAGTTATTTGGAAAATGTTGGTATTTGCCTGCACTGACCTGATATCCCATACTAAGAGATACCAAAGAGCATTTTGCATTTGACAAATTCAGTTTCATTTTGCATGTTTTTTTATAGACCCTCTGAAACTGCACCGTTGCAGTTATGTATATATCTAGCTAATTAAACATGTACTTATTTGTAATGTACAATAATAAAGCACAAATAATGTAGTTGTATCAAGTATTAATTTGTCCAAGGCAATGTAAACATTTCTTTAAATGTCTTGTTTTTGTCGGTCCAAAACCCAAATATATTCAGAAAATAATTCATCTCTATATCTAAGAAGCAAAAGACTGCATTTTCTGCAATTTTTTGCCCAAAAAAACGCTTAAAGGAATAATTATCCAAGTAATCTGTGACTTAAATAGTTGGCGATTATTTTTCTTTCTATGTAATAATGGATAAATATAGTAATCAGCTTTTAAATGTAGGCTGTTTTGCTTTACACAGTTTGCCCCCCCCCCTCCACAACTCTTTCTGTTTACACCAAAAAGAAACTTGCTTAGGAAAAATACAGGCACAGAAAATATGATGTTTCAAAATTAAAAAATGTTTACTACCTACAAACTGAATGCATGTAATGGTGTCTGTCAGAGGGCCGTTACTGTCATATAAAGTATTACTGTTACTTACAGCCCTCCGTTACACACACAACACACACACACACACACACACACACACACACACACCAACCACACACACACACACACACACACACACACACACACACACACACACACACACACACACACACACACACACACACACACACACACACACACACACACACACACACACACACACACACACACACACACACACACACACACACACACACACACACACACACACACACACACACACACACACACACACACACACACACACACACACACACACACACCACACACACACACACACACACACACCACACACACACACACACACACACACACACACACACACACACACACACACACACACACACACACACACACACACACACACACACACACACACACACACACACACACACACGTAGGAGAAGATCTCCACTTCCTGGAATAGTGCACTTTTTAATTAAAGGCCCTCAAAACACATTCAATATTTCTCTTCTTCCTCTAGTGGCTGCTTGTTTCACCTGTCACCAATAACTTACATAACAATCCTAGTAAAGCGTTAATCATTCATATTACAGTATTCTGGGGCAAAGTACACAACAGGCTTAATAACAGGCGCATTGCCTTTATCAGACTTGGTGAACAGATTAGAACCAGGTACACAACACATGAAGAAAGAAAATGCAGATTGTCAGGTCCTGGCCGTTCATCAATCAGTTTATATACTCAATTCTTTCTCACTCTAAGATGGTGTAATATTAAAGTGCCTTACTGACACTTTAGTGCAACACCACTTTTATTATGCTGCCACCTTCTGGTGCAGAAACCGAATGGCTTCATATAAACGTAACCTTTGCGTTGTCTTTCTCTCAGCTACTTTAGTCCTGTCTATAAAGTATATCAATCATAACCCAAATCTTGGATACACCTTTTTAGCTGTTCATATTATTGTAAATAAACCTAATGTACACATACAATTAACATTTTGGAGTTTAAAACACTCCATTTTTGACTATAGTTATAATCAGAAATATCCCTGATGTCAAATTTTAGCCATGAATCTATTTTGATAAAATATAAATGCAACAGTCCCATCATTCAATGCAAATAGTGATAATAAATGTTGTTGCGTAGAACATTGCATGAAACGATGTGATTTTTGTGGCAATTAGATGAAATAACCACATTTCTTTTACAAGAAAACATTTAGAGACGGGTCAAATTTGACGCAAAGACAACAGAAGGGTAAAAAAAAAAAATCTAATCTCTCTGAACACACTTGGACTGAATGTTTAAAAGTCAGAATATTACTAAATAAATCTGAAAAGGAGGCAGTTTCTGGTTACTTAAAAGGCTCAACAAATTTCCATTGACACATATTTAGTAAAACATTTGGTTAAGAAATGTTTGTGGAAATAGTAAATCCTGAGTTTAGTTTAGTTTTCTTTTGTTGTGTGTTTTTAACCACTATTGCCTTGCATGTCAGGAGTTTTGGTTTTCGAGGTATGGAAGCCAATTTCTGCCAATGTGATGAAAATAAACCCTGCAAGTAGGCCTGTCGCGATAATCAATAAATTGACTTATCGTACGATAAATAAAAATGGACTCGATAACTTTTCTGAGCTCGATAAATTTCCATTTACATGCGTGTTTGTTTACATAAGGATGTGACCAGTATTTTAGCCAGGCGCACTGTGAGGGGCTCACACACAGCCCATGACACAGCCAGGTCAGGACACTCCGCGTGCAGCAGTGTAGCAGCCAAATTAATAATATAGAGATAAGCAGGAGACAACGTGTGACTTACTCGAGGGGAATTTGAAGTTAAATGGAAGTAGTTGTAAAACCTAATACCACATCTCCGGTGTGGGAGTATTTTGGATTTAAGCCAAATCAACGAGGCGAACCTACGGACTTGAATGAACCGGGCGGTGTGTCGCATTTGTTTAAAAAAGGGTAGCAACAAAAGCTAGCAATACGACCAACCTTAAACTGCACCTGAAACACAACCTACCCATTCCGTGTTCCCAGCTGGGAGCAAACACGGCAGCTGGAGATGGAGAGCCCCCACCTTCCCGACAGTTTACAATCAAAGATGCATTTGCCCGACAATGCAAACATGTTGGTGTTCCTTGCTCGAAATCTTTGAAATACAGATTTGGATATGGCCTGTTGAGGCATCTGGGTCTTTGTATGGACAGTGGACTGTACACCTGACTGTTGTTTTAAGGAGGTTTTTTTTGCTTGTGAGACAATGTGTGATCATATTTATTTATTTATATATACATATATATGAGAGAGAGAGCTCTGTTTTCCAGCCTGAGTCTATTTAATTGATTGTTATGGTTGTGTGTGATTTTAATTAATTTGTTATAATTAAATGCATTTGTTTTATTTATTATATATAATTTATATATTTGAATATTATTTCACATTTCATTTGCAATGTTTAATGTTCAATAAACATTTCTGTTTGAAAGGATGTACTTGAATGATTATTATATATTATCATTATGTTAGTGGTCTGAAATGGTCTTACAACAGTGCCGACAATATTATCGTTTATTGCAATAATCTCCGGGAAAAATGTATCGTCTAACACAATTAATTATCGTGACAGGTCTACCTGCAAGTTTTTATAATGAGAAACTTCTCTGGTCATTATCTCAAAACGAGTTTCTTGTTATTTTTTAGATACTGCCATTACTTTTACAAATAAAGTTATTATTTTTGACTTACAGGAATTCTTATCTTTAATTTCATCATATTGTTGTTCTGCATAAAAGGTACTTTCTAGATGCTGAAAAATGTATTTCTTAAAACATATAAATATTATATTAATTAATATTGTTTTGTTGATTTACTAAATGTAAGTGTTTGCTCCGTAAAATAATTCCTGTGTAATTCCAGTTTTTTTCTTTTTAATGCCATTGCCTGAAATGTTATGATGATCCATTTGTGCTTGTGTATTGATTGCATTCAAAAACTGTTAAAAGGCAGACACATTGTATGTTGTAAACTCATTGTTTATCCTTAAATATACAGTTTAATGCTATTGTAAAAGAAGTCCACATTTCCAGGCTTCTGCTTATGTTTTAGTGTGAAATCACTGATAATGTTCCCAACACCCTTTACTGCACCACAGGAAGTAAAAACGTTTTCTAAAACCACTAAAAAAAAAAAAATCATATAAGAAAGTTAATGCTCATTATTACACAGCTCAGTTGAAGACTTGATTCTGATTGGTCAATTTGGACATTCTAGAGGTTAATCTTTCTGCTAACAGACCTTCGCTCAGGACGACGCTCTGAAGAAGGGACTACAGTGCTGTCAATCCGCGGAAAGAAGTTCTGTCATTTTAATGTTGTTAATCGAACAAGGCTCTGGCAGTGTTTTAAGACAATGGACATAGAAAATGGAAAAGAAAATACGGCATCCAAGAGATCTACTCTCTTGGATGCCGTATTTTCTTTTCGGTAAAAATAAGTAATACCTGGTTTTTAGACTCTGATTGTAGTTAAGAACGCTCTATCTTTTTTTAGGGAAGTAGAAGTCTTTGGTCAGCATTGAGACGATGCAGGGGATCTGCTTCTTCCCGCTGTACCCCGGCAGCTTGGAGGAGGACTCAAAGTGCAGCGCCACCTTTCGGTTGACTCGGGTCATGATCTGCATGAGCTCCAGCTCTCCGCTGAATCTCTGCAGCATCTCACACAGAGACTGCATGAACCAGGAGCCGCTGCATTGGTTCCTCCATGAGTAGTAGCCTGAAGGACAGTGTGAACACTCTGATTACAAGGCTCACACACACTGTAGTGCCAATTCAGCTTTATACAGGTATCAGACAGTGTGTATTTTCATGAAAATAACGCATAAAGGCAGGAAATTATAGCAGGACAAGAAGTATTTAACTATGACGGCGTATAATGGCCATTGTAGGAAATGTTATTAATAATAATTATAGCGCCAGGTGATACAAAAATAAAAGGAGACGATTAAAGTTGTACATTCATGAGAGCAGAACTTGAATATTTTTTCACATGTTGTTTTCTTCTAAATAGCTTAATTCACAGATATGTTTCTACAAAGTCCATACAATTACGATGGTATGGAGTTTTTGTGATAAAATCTGAATTATTTCCTATATGTTTTATTTTTTTTTACCATATCCTATATTACATCCTATGTATTTTTTAGACTTAAATCATTGAAAATCTGAGTTTTCTCTCATAATATTACCCCCCCACCTCCAACATATATATATTATTTGAAATCAAATGGCCCTTATACTCCATTTGACTTTTCTAACACTTCTGTTTGAAGTTACCTGGAGCAGTGGAATAAGCATACAGGAAGTCTGCCTCCACTGGAATCCTCTCAGATGATTGGGCATCCACACTGTCCGCCTCAATGCAGGATCCCTCATCCAGGCCTGACCCACGGCACGCCTGCAGAGGACAGGGGTCACAGCTGCATATGTTACCATTAATAGATGTACATTAAGTGTGATGGTGTTTCATGGTGCTACAGAAGCTCTGCAAACACTGCATGTGGTTTACAGCTGCTATAACAACCAGTGTTTTTATTTACTTAGTTTTCCTTCATCAGGTAAGACAGTGGAATACTTGACGTCAGAGAAATCAGCAGAAGACAGACAGGAACTAAAGCTCTGGCAGTGTTTCAAGACTGGTGATGGAAAAGAAAATGTGAACAGACTTGGACAGTTAAAGAAAACCTTGTTCAGTGCTGCGGATAATTTTCTCTTATCGGAAGCAATACGGTATTTTTGATATCAATAAAATCATTACAAAAATCATTATTTTGGGGCGATTTTCAAAACCCTCTGCTCCGCGTCTTGATCCTGCTCAACCGGTCAATGTTATTTTTTCATTAATGACTGGCTCGCGCACATTATCCCTTACTTAGAACTTTAAAAAAGGGAAAACCACATTTGGTGTGGATTTCCAATCCACAGTTTGAAAACAGAACTTCCTTGTTCTCTCTCTTTTGAACAGCTGAATCTTGTTATATAATTGCAGAGTGCAGATATGAGAGGGATACATTTTACAGTGTTTTGGTTGACTTGGATATTTAGCCTGTTTTTATTCGGCCAATAGGGACGATCCTGATACTAAACCAAGGAGAACATTCTGCTGTAATGAATGTCAGCAGGGGCAGTTTTTGTTGCAGGCTTTTTCCAATACAACCCCCCGAGAGAGAGAGCCTCGTTTGCATTATTTTGCATGAACAGCTAGTGAAGGTTCCTTCTTTGAAATCCCAAAGATAAACTGGAAAACTTTTCTTTGTTAGCCAAATAACTTAGTGAATTTAAATGTATATTTTATTGTTAAAGGTTAAAATGGGAAAAGTAAGCTGTACTGAGCTTTTATAGAGTGGTACAGGTATGATATATTTTAGGATGCCGACCAGGAAGTTAGAATCGCACAAGTTCGCTAAACTAAAATACAATGGGATCTTCCATTCGCTTTTAAGATATTGCAGAGACTAAGCTCTGTGGCAAACTAGCTTTCATAAGACTTCTTTTAGCAGGTTAATCTCCATATCTTTACCCAACTTTTATGTTTGTGAAGCCTAAATGCAATCACCAGAAGTAAGAAGTCAGACCACAGTCACATGAGGTCACGTCCACATTGCTAAGTTAAAGGCAGCTAATGTTCGGCGTGATGATGTTTCGTAGTTTCATTTAGCCAATTTTTGGCATGAATGGTGCTTTAATAAGACACGTAAGAGCTACAGATATTCACAAATGGGCTATTTGTTGATATAAAAAAAATGCATCTTGTTAGCTAAAGACGTTATTCAAGATGTTTTTGTTTATTTTTTTACCTGTGTGTAGGCATAACTTATTAACCCCGGCTATAAAAATGTTTTTATGTCAAATCAGTGTCAGTATTGCTAGCATTTCAACGACTTATGTGGCAAGAGACGGTACCGGTAAAACAGGTTTGTGTCACTTTGTTTATTTCTCACCTGTATGAAGAAGAGCTTGGGTTTCCCCACCAGACCCTTACAGCGATCTCCTTTAAAGTGCTTTATCAGTTCCTCAAGCAGTTCACAGCCGTCGATACCGTATATCACCCCGTCATCTCCGTGACTCAGCAACACACAAGCAAATGATGCATTTTGACTGTGGTCCGCCTTGGATGCTAGAGGCACAAGCGAGAAAAAACAAGACAAGAGTAAACTTGTCAGATTTTGATTTCACACAGTGGCAGTTTGGAATGAATGAAACACTGGTTTCTGTTACCATTACACAACAGTTGTTTCATCTCCTTCACGGTCTGATCATTGGCAAACTGGACCTTATAACCCATCTCAGAGAAGGTCTTCATGGCAGCGGCAGCATCTAAATCCGTCCCGTTACGAGCAGTCATCCCTAGAGAGACACAAACACAAGTAGAGCAGTCCAGGGACGGGATTACTTTGATATGAAATTAACATTTTCAACTCATACTAAAAATGTGGACAGCTAATATTTAGGGGTGCTCCGATCGATCGGCCACCGATCCTCCGCCGATACTCACTCACTGCCGATCGATCGGTGCTCTCTAAAGGCCGCTACACACCAACCTGAGACCAAAGAACGTGTACCGAAGGCGTCCCGACTTTTTACGTCCGCTACGTCACCTGCGTCGGCTACGACGCCTGCGCTGCCTGCCTACGCCGCCCGCCTACGAACACACCGCAAAGACTTCAGTCGACGAGTGGCAATAACTGTCCTTACCAGCAGGCAGCGGTAGTGTGTATTCGTCATTCAAAAGAGGCAACAGCCAATCAGAGTGATTTCTTTGTGCCGTAAAGCAACGACGGTGCGGGACACACCAACCTGAGTAGGGCGCCGCAAATGCCCGACTGCCTCTGACGGCCTCTGACTCGCAAAATCTGGTAGGTGTGTCAGGGCCTTAAAAATGCCGATCGCGAGAGCCGATCGCATGACGTAAAATTATGACGTAAAATACATGACACTTTTCTCTGTGCGCGGCAAAACAAGCTCGCCAAAATGGCTTCACCAGTCTGGCAGTATTTGAAGGTGTCCGAAAATGACAATAAAATAGCGGTATGCAACGTGTGTGAAGCAGAAATCCTGCAGCTCCACCCGCTGTGACGGACCGATGAGCAGAGCAACACACACACTAAGAGTTAGACCTAATACACTTAGCTATTTTATCTACCTCTGGAACAAGCTAAACTAGTTATAAATATGTTTATTCTTCACTGTCGGGTCACTCATTACTGGATCAGTGAGCTGCATGAGATACTGACAGGCTGTCAGGAGGGAGAGAGGGGGGGAGAGACGGAGAGAGGAAAAGAGAGCGCTTCTGCTCATTTCCCCCCGTGTTATTATCCAAAGTTGATGTAAACTTGAATAATGTACTTCATTTGAATGTAATAATTATGTTGGTTGTTGTTTGTGGAAGCGCCAGTGAATGAGCCCCTTTAACTGAATTTTAAACACAGGCCCGGTTCTACAGGGGTGCATAAGGGTGCTCTCAAAGTGCACCAGATTGATGCTTTTAACTTAAATATTTTTTTAAAAAATCTTAGAGGGTGTAAAAATAGCACTTTACCACTGCACCCTCTCTAATCTCAGATGCACCCTGAGTCATTTTGTTCTGGAACCGGGCCTGTTTAAATATCACTTTAAATGGAAGATCCCCATAGGCCCTGCCCACTTGATCGGATCGGCGATCGGCCGATACTGATTCCGGCCCCAAAATTGGCGATCGGAGCATCCCTACTAATATTAGAGTTTTACTTTGTAGACTTAAGAGAATATAGTTTATGCTGCCTACGTTTCTTTGTTCTCTGTTATAGAAGCTTTGAGATCCATGTTTTTATTATAAATTAATTGTTTTCTCTATTGTGTAAGACTTGAAACATGTGAAATATAAAAGGTTTTGCTGTTTGCCGGGTGAGAGAAAAGGAACTTTGAAAAACAATTATGGGGAATATGGCGGTATATACGGTAAATATAAAGTAAAGTAATTTGGGCAAAAATGGAAACGAGTGAAGCTGGAAATACGTAGCTGGAAAAGGATGTGTAGGAACCGTAACACTAGAAATTAAAACTGCGGTCACAGACGTGCACAGTTGTGGGCTGGCCTTCGCGTCCGAGCGCCTGTCGGGGAGGGTCGCCAGTCGAGTCCTCCGAAATGAGCAGTTTGTAATTTCTCAAGTGTTCAAGTCCAAGGGGTGTTTCTCAATCGCGAGTAAAGCTGCTCCAGAGCCACTATTTCAAGCATACTACGTAATCGAATGCCGCCGAAGGACTGTTCCAATGTCCAGCATACTTGGAATTCTACCGAGCCCGGCGTACTTCGTTTGGAGAAATGTCGAGGCTGCACATGTGTAGACTCCACGGTCTTAAAATCCCCACAATGCTTTGCGCACGGACCAATTTCCCCAAATCTGTGGCGGAAAATGTAAAGCGGGGCTTCTCATGTGACGCACACCTGCACACTTGCTAGCCTGTTCCACTCTTTGTTTTCCAAATGCCAGGAAGTATTCTTGCCTCGCTTCTGAAGCAAGACGCTCGGAAGACATGTGCTACCAAGCAAGCGTACTCAAGATTGAGAAACACCCCTGGACTCCTGGGTCCTCCGGCACCGACCCGGAAACGGATGTGGGCGCGCCGCCTCGAAGGAAAACAAATGTCTCCAAAGGCTCATCGAGGAACGATTATCCGTGGCGTGTGGTGCAGTGGGTTGTGCGTTGGTGTTCGGATCAGGGGGTCACAGGTTCAAACCCCACTGCAGTCAATATGTCGTTGTGTCCCTGGGCAAGACACTTCAACCCAAATGGCTCCTGTGGGGATTGCCCACAGTATTGAGTATGTAAGTCGCTTTGGATAAAAGCGTCTAACAAGTGACATGTAATGTAATGTAACCAAGGACACACTGATTTAGAGGAGAGAGTAGTCTCTCTGGAGGAGCTTTAACCGAGGGTATACTGATGTATCCTCCCTGTGTGTGTGTGTGTGTGTGCGTGTGCGTGTGCGTGTGTGAGAGAGAGAGAGAGATGATGTGGAAGGCAGAGTAGCTTATCTGACATCTAAATGGTGGAAAATTGTACATTCTAGCCTGTGAGCTCCCCGTTTGAGCGACTGACTATTCCTTCTCAATGTAGCATTGCATTGGATATGGGCTGAACTTGTCCTGGAATGGAATTTTTTCGGTAATTTCCCTAGGAGAAGTTTGCAAACATGTGTAGAAAATGCATGAAAACTGCACATTTTTCAAAATGGCCGACTTTCTGTGGGGCGGGCCAAATGGAAGGCAATTTGAAAGATGTCCGCAATCATAAGAGCAATGTGTATACAGCGTTTCGTGCATATTGGAACAACCATATGCGAGTAGTTTGGAGTCATTTGCAACATGTAAATCGGCAAAAATTGTGTATTCGCTGTTAGCTTACGACCTCCACGATTGAGCTATCAAAAATTGGCTTCACAATTTAGCATCATATTGGATAGGGGCTGAACTTGTCCTGGTTTGGAATTTTTCCGATCATTCCCCTAGGAGGAATTCGCATTGTGGGCATGAATAACGCCGACTTTTCAAAATGGACGACTTTATGGGGAGCGGGGCTAATGGAAGACATTTGGAAATATGTCTGCAATTCCATGAGGAATGTCTGTGCCAAGATTCGGGTAGCTCGGAGAAACTATATGTGACTACCGCACAATAGGGGGGCGCTATTGAGCCGTATTTGCAAAAACTTTTTTTGTACAATCTGGAAAAGGTCGCGGGCTGTCACGTGTGTTCCAAATGTAAAGGCCATAACTCATTTCAACACAAAGTTATGTATCCGTAAGTGTTTTTAACTCTTCAATTTTGAGAAAAAACTGAAGAGGACACGCCCACCTTCATCATTGGTTGCGACACTTTAAATCTCAGTTTATACTCATCCTTCCAGTATATCTATGACAAAATATATATATTTCGTCCAACTGTTCTTGAGGTATACATTTGTTGTGTTTTTGGCGCCCCCTATTGTCCAAAATGGCATGCTTTTCTGTGCCTATTCCCCAAGACAGACTGCCATGCCCGGCGCCGTACGAGGGCCAGGCCCTTTTTATTATTTATAACATTAAAAAATATATGTTTTTTCTTCATTTTTTAAATTATAAATAAACTGTGAACTTTTATGCCACGATGTATGTGATGTCAGATAGTAACTAGGGCCGGGACTTTAACGCGTTAATTAAGATTAATTAATTACACAAAAATTAACGCGTTAAAAAAATTAACGCATTTTAATCGCACTTATTTTTGCACCGCGGAACGTTTCTCACTGGATGAGTTTCAGGCGTACCGATTATACTGGAGCACCAACTAACGTTCATGACTTCAGACAACAACAAACCACAGTGAACAACAGTGGGAAATGTTGTTTTAAAAAACGGACGGATGGAAGCGTCGATAAGAGCACGGTTGTGTGCAAATTATGCAAAAAGGAATTCGCATATCACCGCAGCACATCAAGCCTCAAGTATCACCTCAATGCAAAACATATAGCAGCTAGCGTGGACGTTAGCCTCTTTTATCGCGTTCACACCAAAAAGAGCCGGTACTAAAATTAGTTAATGAGAACCTTTTTACCCCCACGAAAGTCCCTGCTAGAGAGCAGAGAGCTGCTAGAGAGCAGGGACTTTCGTACGGCTCTCTTGTGAGAAAAGAGCTATATGTCTGATTGGCTGGGTGGATTGCAAACCACGCCCCGTAAAACTCCCAAAAAGTTTTGTGAAGCCGCCATTTTATTATCGTCGCATTAGCATTATTAGCATTAGCATTAGCCCAGCGCAGAAACGCAGAGAGACTAACTTATGGCAACACAAAATAAAACATGGGAGCGGTGGAGATGAGGAGGTGTCGGCGTTCTAGCGATTTACTCGGAAGGCTGCTGGGAGTCCCAGCAGCTTCTACTGAAGCCAGTCCCTAACTCCGGGGACTTCCGGCCGGGGACTTTGGGCGGCAGTATACGCCGTGAAGTGGTTTGCGGCCTGCCAGTAAACCCAAAGCAGAAGAAGAAGAAGTGACGTCAGCGGCTTCATTTGCCTAATCCACCCCCAGGTTCAAAGAGTTCTCATGAACCTTTGTGGGAAAAGTACTGCGGTGTGACTGCGCCTAATGGTATACTAAAATCCATGTGAAAAAAATTGCTTCTCACTGTTCTCAGGTCAAATATTTATATGTGATTAAAAATGCGATTAATTTCGATTAATTAATTACAAAGCCTCTAATTAATTAGATTAATTTTTTTAATCGAGTCCCGGCCCTAATAGTAACTAAAAAAAATATCACAGGCTATGTCAAATAAATGCATGTGTCTGTTGTGATTTGTGATTCGTCCACATTTAGACCAATCACAGCGTCACACTCTGCTGCCTATTCTGGATTTGTTTATTGTGCATTCTGTAGACTCCCATTTATGTTTGAATTACAAAATGGACATCAGAAATTGGCTCAAAAGGTCTAAGGATTTATTCAAACGAAATAGCGATGAAAGAACTGCAGCCGATGGTGCTGCTGGCGACCCTGCACCTGCCGTTGCAGCAGCACGCCTTAATGTCACAAGCTTGACCTCGGCAAACCCCGGGGCTGAGTTAGCGAGCCCAAGCCTTGACTCATCAAGGCGGCCGCCACCAACGCTGTCCTCCGAGGCACCCTACCATCACCACCTGCGTTGCCACACCCTGTAACACACCCGCCAGCATCCTCCTCCTCCGTGCCGGAGCCTCTACTACAGACGCTACCTTTGCAGCACATCAACAGGTACTATTGGGCCAGCAACCGCTCAAAGACCAACAGCCCCAGATGATCTTGGGGTTAATAAACCCAACCAGGTGAAACTGGATCGTTATCCAGGGAGATTGTTTTCAGGAAAGAAGCGCACTTTTGCCGCTGCATGGTACACAACAGACCATGGCTTGAGTATTCTTTAAAAGCAGACGCAGCCTTTTGTTTCCCCTGTAGACAGTTTAAAGTCAATACGTCTTCATCTGATGTGGCTTTTACTGTCAAAGGTTTTTGCGACTGGAAACAGGACTGCTAAGACATGCCGCATCAAAAGAACACATTTCATGTGAGAGTTTGTGGAGAGAGAGAGAGACAGATACGCGAGGAAACAAATAAGGAAATTAGTACTTTGGTGCAGATCAGCTGGCACGGAACCGTTATTACGTGTCAGCTCAGCTGTCGCTGTCATATTATAGCTTTTTTAGCTGTCAACCAACTCCCTCTTAGAGGTGACCACGATTCACTCCACAGCATGTCCGAGTCAGGCAGTGGGCTCTTCCTATCGCTGTTTGAGTATACGCTGCACAAAGATGCAGAGTTGGCCAAAATAATGTTCTAAGTTAGCTCGGCTGAGCGAAAGGATGCACCTGCCTGCAGTGCATAGGATAATAAACCATGCCCAAGGCGGGCTAAACTGTTCATCGTCTCCGTCTCTACTATTTCTCTCCGAGTGCAGCGATGAGGAAGCTGCCATCCTTAACCAGTGTGCCTTGCTCGTGATTTACCAGTCAATCAATCAATCAATCAATCAATGTTTATTTATATAGCCCAATATCACAAATGTTACATTTGTCTCAGTGGACTTTACAGTTTGTACAAAATATCAGTATGACAATACCAGTGTTTGTGCTGCCACGCACACAATGTTTCAAAAGTGGTTTCTGTGTTGCCCTTTATTTGTGTATGTATTTGCGATAAGTGTGCGTCTTTACGCAATGCTGTTGGCCTTGCTGTTTGATATATATTGTGCCGCAGGCCCGCAGCACGTGATGGTTTTGTGTGCCCTCCCATGAAAATCATATGCCCTCCCTTTAGGTTTATTCTGGCGCCGGGTCTGCAGACTGCACCTATTCACTGAAATCTGTGATATTTGGATAAATTGTGGATGAATCATGAGCATTTATGTGTAAGCCACACCTTTTTGCTAATACGTTGCGATTGATGTCGGCCACATTTTTCCACACATCGTGCTCATTTCCTACGGTAATGTGTCTGACCCTCCACTGATGCTGTACACTAAGTTTGGTGTAGCTTAGTAGGCGGAGCATAGGGATACGTGAGGATAATATGTAGAGCAGCTCCACCCGGATAAGTGTGCAAAATCAGAGTGACGCTGCGATTATGTATATTTTTCGAAAACTGTTTTTTCATAGGTCGCGCTAGCGAGCACGGTGGACATTTTGAACCCATCGGCTCCAGAATCTAAAAATATTCACCCGTCCTGGCAGCGTTGCCAAATGTCGATACATGAATAGTGTCGTAACCCCCTCAAAAACAGGTCGAATCCCCAGACTATGAAGAATAAGAATTCTATGCAGAACAATAAGTCTTTGCACACTTCGTGCTCAGGCCCTAAGGATTGTTCTCAGGGACATTTTAGCAGCCATTTTGTTTTGTTTTACTGGTTTGAGTCTTTTGTGTTCCCATATGATTTGGTACAAGTCCATCAGAGAAGATCTTTTTTATACTTATTTTATGTTTGTTGTGTACATTATTAAAAATGCAGAACATTGAGTGCAAGTGACTATACAATGAAAAAGACCTTTGTGTTTTGTAGAAAGGGTGTATCTACCTGTGCTTGGGTAGAAGTTCTTGTTGTTGATGATCAGACAGGTTCCGATGCAGGGATAGTCCATCTTGTAGCGGTAAGGGTCACTACGGCTGCGGGGGGGAGAGTCAGTTTCCTCAGGAGTCTCACTGCTAGGAGTCTCACTGCTGCATGCAGGCTTTGCACCCAACCTAAAAAGACATACACACACAGTACACACATGAAGACAGGGATGGATAATAAACAGGCCTACCAAACAGAGCCCCATTACCCAAATGATCAGGGCCCTTCTTGGCTTCACCAACAGAATGAAACTAAAAGAGCTACGTACAGAAAAAGACTAAAAATAATCACAAAGCAACTACAGAGAGACAAAGAAACACTTCAAAGACGACTTGAAAGTTAAAAAGACGTCAAAGAGACTCAAAACGATTTTAAAACAGACAAAAAATACTTCAGAGACACAAAATAATTGTAACGAGTTACAAAGACTTCGAAGAGACACAAACATATTTTAAAGAGACAAAAAACACTTCAAAGAGACACCAAACGACATCAGAGAGTTACAAATACGTTACAGAGACACAGAAAGACCTCAAAGAGACAAAAAACACTTAAAAGAGACACCAAACGACATCAGAGAGTTACAAATACGTTACAGAGACACAGAAAGACCTCAAAGAGACAAAAAACACTTCAAAGAGACACCAAACGACATCAGAGAGTTACAAATACATTACAGAGACACAGAAAGACCTCAAAGAGACAAAAAACACTTCAAAGAGACACCAAACGACATCAGAGAGTTACAAATACGTTACAGAGACACAGAAAGACCTCAAAGAGACAAAAAACACTTCAAAGAGACACCAAACGACATCAGAGAGTTACAAATACGTTACAGAGACACAGAAAGACCTCAAAGAGACAAAAAACACTTCAAAGAGACACCAAACGACATCAGAGAGTTACAAATACATTACAGAGACACAGAAAGACCTCAAAGAGACAAAAAACACTTCAAAGAGACACCAAACGACATCAGAGAGTTACAAATACGTTACAGAGACACAGAAAGACCTCAAAGAGACAAAAAACACTTCAAAGAGACACCAAACGACATCAGAGAGTTACAAATACGTTACAGAGACACAGAAAGACCTCAAAGAGACAAAAGATACTTCAAAGAGAAACAAAATCACTTTAAAGAGACTTCAAGGAGAGATAACACAGCTGCAAAGAGACATGAAGGGATTCAAATGTTATTAAAAGGGGAATACAAAAAGGAAAATAAGTCACAAAACGGGAACAAAGAGGCACAATTTTACTATATAGTAAGATAGTCATCAGTGTACAAATATTACCTTTTTCCAAACCATTTTACGGCGTCCACAGTGTCCTCAGCACTCTGCAAGTCTCCGTCAGCCATGTTCCTACAGGCACACATTCAGAGGCAGAGATCAGAAAATAAATACAATGGAAACATACCATTATTAAACAATTAGTATTTTTCTAGCAAATAAGAATGACTACCACACCCCGAAGGAAACTGGATAGATAACATCATTTAGAAATAAAAACTGATAATGACATTTTGAACATTGTAATTTATTAGAAAAATAGGTGTTTAAAGCAATACAGGTTTTCCCTCCAGGAAATAGTTCAGCCAAGGTAGTAAGTCACCCCATATCGAGGCAGAATTAGCTAAATCTTTCATAAATATTTGGCCTTTTCCGTATGAAATAGCCTCTGCTCGTGTCCCATCTATAAAACTAAAAAGTACATGTTTGATGTAAAGACATCTCCACTCTTCTATAATACACAACAGGAAATCCTGCATACAGGGGCGTACTGGCCATTGGGAATACCGGGAGATTTCCCGGTGGGCCGGTACCAGAGTGGGCCGGTCATACAATTCACTATGTCAAGATACCCAAAAAGATAACTAGGCTGTTTTTTTACAATTTGGGTGAAGTCACTTCTTTAAATGCAGCCTTCTGTATGATTTACATTTGACAACTTTTTAAAAAGAAGAAAAAAAGAAAAGACGTTCCTTACCGGGCAGCAGACACTTTTTAAAAAACATATTTGATACAGGTGGTACATTACACAGGATGGTACATTACACAGGATGGTACATTACACAGGATGGTACATTACACAGAGGCTTTAAACGAAATGTGACTATAAACTCAATTCCAGTGCATAATATATGGTATATGCAAATGTTACTCAAGTAAAAGTACTTAAGTATAAGCAATGCATCAAAAATATACTTAAAGTACCGAAAGTAAAAGTACTCATTATGGAGATTGGCCCATTTTCTTATAATATATTATATGTGATTTAAGTAGGTAAAGGTGCAGCTAGTTTAAATTAGCTTGTGAATGTACTCCAGGTGTAACTAAAGTTTTGTTTAAGTGTTGATTATATTTCACATCATTAAACAACATCTGTAAAGTAACTAAAGGTAATAAATAAATGTAGAGGAATAAAAGTACACGATTTACATCTGAATTGTAGTGGAGTTGAAAGAAGCAAAACACTGAGTCCCTCGATTTTATTTAAGTACAGTACTTGAGTACATCTACTTAGTTACTCTCCACCACTGGAGCTGATGCATGCTGTAATATATGATATGAATATCGCAATATAATACTGTTAACGTCAGGAGGTAGCTCATAGCGAAACTGCATTGACCAAACGGAGCCAGTCAAAAGCGGGAATGATTCACCGAGTGTTGTAAACCCACTTGGGTCACTGACAAATCATACCGCAGAAAAAGCACCTGTAAGGGAATATTCATTAAAAAGTGAATATTATAACGCTTTATTTCGTCTGAGGAGTGTTGTGTACGCTGAAGAAGTGACAGTACATTACAACGGTAATCGTGTTATAGAGCATGTTTGCTGTAACTAGCTAACGAGCAAGTATACTGGATTAAAAGCACTAGTGACACCAAACTTTGAATATCTGTCATAACAGAGGCTACTATGGTTTAACGCACCTGCATTTATTTTAAAAACACCGAATTAATTCACAACTGCCTGCTACTTCAGAATGAACATTAACCTACCTTTTAAGTTGGTACCCGAAGTAAGTTAAGTTTCCCGTAAACAAAAACGCATAGCCTACTACAACACCGGTTTTACAATCCCTGTTAACCACAGCAGACACGTCAAAAGTCAAGCTTCGTCAAAATGGGAATTAAAACTAATGATATATCTATATATTGTATTTCTTTTTTTTTTTAAATAAACCTACCTTTTTGTGTAAGTCGTTAGCCCCCGGT